CTCTTTCCTTCTTCACTCCCAAGGGTTACTAAGCTTACTTGCCCACTTTTCCTCCCTTTGCCACATATAGGAAAGTCACCAGCACAAACCCACCAAGAACTTTTGTCCATCCATGATGCCACAGGGAAAAAAGGTGAAATCTGGGCTGAAACCAGTCTTTCGCATGAAAAAGTTTGATGATCCTAAATCCAAGGAAAAACAATGGTTTAGGTAAAGCACTGGCTCTAGTGCTCATTGTCTTTCTTGTCTTTTCTTGCTACTGTTTCCTTTCAATACAATTTAACAAATACAGAAGTCTACCCAAAGGGGTTTTCAGTAAGACTGTGTAGAACACAGGTTGCAATGAGAAAGTTCCTTACATAGTTCTACTTGCAAAGAGGCTGTAATACTGAGACATGGCTTCCCTCCCTGACTTTTCAACCTCATCAATTTTCAACCTACATGACCTTTAATATAAGTTAATGAAAGAGAAACAGTAATGCAGAGATAAAGCTTTCCACTGATTTCAAGGGTGAAGGAAGTGGTCTGTTCTAAGGTTTGTACTTTGAAGGGAAAAAAAAATTATCCTCGGTCAGAATTAAAAACTATAATGTAGGAACAATGTACTATGAAAATACAGAGACAACAGAGATCTCATTTGACACCAGTTACTGCAACAGCTTTTGCCTAGTTTGGAGCAGAGAAAGGAGATTCTGAAGTTACTGCAAGAGTTGCTAGCGCTAGCTTGGTACTGGACGATGCCCACTGCTCTCCCTAATCAACAGCTTCTTGTCATTGTCCTGTCTTCTCTACTGAAATCCCTGAGGATGTAGTCAAATCTTAAAGCATACAGTACCATTAACCTCCTGTTTTAGGATCCACTAAATGAATTTTGGCTTTTTTTTTTTTTTTGGTTAAGGTTTTCCACTGACAATGACTTTAAGACTGAGGGACAGTATTCAAAAAACTATGCTTTAAGGAAACAGAAAAAAATGTACCCACAGCTTAACTTTGCTCCAGTCTGTGAAAGAGACAAGATGAAAGATGGTAAGTTCTCTTTGAATGCAGTGGTTTATTCAAAGACAGAGATGTGAGCTTGGATAGAATCTGTGAGGATTACAGATACTGGGAAACTGATATTAGTGGTTCTGGACATTTTCTTTGTAGTAGAGAAGCAAAGAGCTAAAAGAAGCTCAAGTGGTGAAGGCTTAACAACCTTGTTTAAAGCCTAAAGTTTAAGAAAGTGCAAGCACAGTGTTTCCCAAACTATATCACCACCTCCTTTTTTTGTGCATGTGTGTACGTGTGTGTGCAGTACCAAGGATTGAACTTGGGACCTTGCGTTTGCCAGGCAGGTGTTTATGCCACTTAGCTGTCTCCCTGACCCTCATCTCTTACTCTTACAGGTTTTTTTTTCATATTATTAATATGATTTGTTTTATTACTTAGCATTTTAAAAGGATTTTAAAAATTCTTATCCTAAATCATGTCATATTCTCTACAGCATGGTTTTGGTATATAAATTTATAAATTTTAAGATTTATCTACCACATAAAATCAACCAGACATATACATATCTTACTGCTAGGAACACTGCTTTGAGAGTTAAAAAGATGAGGCTGTGAGTCTCAGATTAACAAGTCTCTCTGGCATTAGGATGGGGAAGGGATGAAAGGGTTTTTAAGATGAGGTAGTGTGGAAGAGGGTGATAATGAAAATGCCCCTCACACTTACAGAATACCTATTAAATGCTGGACACTTAACAGACACCAATGACAGCACTTTCAACACATGAAATAGATGGAGCAGACCATCCTTCAAGGCCCCATCCCTCAAGGCCATCCCAGTGACTTCCTAACACCTTTGCTGGCCATCCTCAGCCCACAATCCCACAGAGGAGTGAGGTCATATCGTACCACTCCTTAACTAACTTCTTCTATGCCACTCCACCCCATCCCCATGTACTGCCTCTCCCTAACTCTCCGTAAGCAACTAAAAACAACCTGTGGCATGAAACAGAATTTGATGCAGAGCAAAAGCATCAGCGAGTGATTTATTTTTCTTTAAAAGGGGCCATTCTTAGGTTCAGCCTCATGGCAACCTGTTTCTTTGTAACTTCCCAGCAGGCCTGTCACATTCCCATTCTTGCAACTCTCCAAGCTTAAGGACACTTATTTTTGCTTAGCTCCCAATACAGTTGGCTCAAGGAAGGGGAAATGGATCTCTCCCTTCCTCAAAGCCTGTTTCTTTTCAGCCCCAGCCTGTATAAATGCAAATATCTATTTCTTCCAAGAGAAATTCTACATGGAAAGCGTGGTTTGAACACTATAAGCCAGAGAAAGTAAGTTAATATAGTACAGTTAGTCAAGTGTGAGTTAAATACTAAATGATACCATATGTAGGATGTTGCAGTTCAGCTTTAATCCATAAAAGAGAAAAGAACTTCTCTAGACTCTTAAGATTAGAATTTCTCTAATTTTGCAAGAGCAATGTGATTAACAGGATGTACTCAATTTATATGCACAAAGAGAATACTTAATCTCACCTGGCAGCTCCTATCTTGATTTATGGTAAAGTAAATTGCAGCCCCCCCCCCCCAAAAAAAAAGATCCTCAGTTTACTTTCGTTCCTGAAAGGCTCCTTACACTGCATCTCCTAAACAAAGACAAATCTCCTGAGGAATTGAACCAGTGCTCCCCCCCCCGCCCCCCGCAAAATGCCTCTTGGTTATGAGGCATCCAAATAAATACTACACTGAGAAAGGTTAGGGTTGGAAACAGGTTAGGAGGCTGTCCAAACAGAGGATAGGACCGGAACCAGTGATATGAGTAGGCATAAGAGAGCAGATTTGAGGGCTATCCTAGGCAAGATAACATCCAAAAATTGGGGAGCGGGCGGGAGGAAGACGATCCAGCTTCCAGAAAACCAGGCACAAGTTAAAAGAGAATCTGGATAAAATAATGTCATTGAAGCCAAAGGTACACGAAGTTTGTCACACTCCCAAACACCAGAACACCTGCGTATACTTTCTCAAAGGCTAAAAAGGCACGCGAGCGTACGCACGAGCGCACACCAATGTAGTGACTTTATCAAAACGGCTGGAGATGGAATTCCTTGAAAAGGGTGGGACTAAGCAAGAAGGATTACACTGGCAGTGTGCCTTAAACTGGCTTTTGATGAAGAGAAGGAATCCAGAGTTATTCAAGCTGGTTATGTCAGTCTGGGATCCAAAAGATCCACCCTCTTGCTCGGGGTAAAGACCGGCTTTCCGGTCCTCCCATTAAATAAATATCCTAGCGCGTCTGGAAATGACATTCACTACGATGTCCTGTGCTTTGTCGTAGCTTCCAAGAAGTCAGCGAGTGAATCGCCGACTTCCCAGCTGCTCCTGGAACCACTCACACTTTCCTCGCTTCAGAAAGAGAAGCCCACCCGAAGCGCGCCGGGGCAAAACTGTTTTCGCAACGGAAGAGCCCAGCAGTGGATTATCGAAAATGCCTCTCGTTAAGTGAAAACAAGCGCTCCAGGGCTGTCGCCTGGCTCTTCGCGGACTGCGGGCCCCGCACAAGTCGCTAACCAAATAAAACCACTTTGCAGCACACTGCAAGCGTGGAGCGCCGAGGCTCGGGCAGTGGGCGGGGCCAACCCCGGGACCCGCCTGGTCCCACCCCCTACGACTGCGAGGAGACGGAAAAGCGTGGCTACGTCCCCCGAGGGGCTAGGGCGTCCGCGACGGCTCGGGAGAGGGGGGGCGGGCCTTGGCCCCGAGTGACGGCCGGGCGGCCCAACCGGCGAGAAAAGACAGGGTCGGCCTTCCTGTACCCTCTTCCGCCTGCCGGCAGCAGCGCCTGGGACGGCTGCAGTGGTTCTGGGCGCTAGGAAGTCATTCAAGATGATTAAAAAATTCGACAAGAAGGACGAGGAGTCTGGTACGCGGGCCTCCTGTCGCCCACCCTCAGCCTTGGGCGCCCCCTTCTTTCGCCCGCCGCCACCTGTTTCCCCGGACTGAGGGCTGGGGGCGTGGGCGCTCCAGCCGGGGGCCTGCCGTAGCTCCTCCCCCGGGCGCCGGGGCCTCCCCTCGCTCGGCGCGCTCCCGCCCGGGCGCGCGGCCCCGCCTCGGACTGCTCTGCAGCCCCGCCCCCGCCTCGGTCCCGCCCCCACCTTCCGCTGAGCCCTGCTGAGCCGCTCTGAACCGCAGTCCCGCGGGTCTGCAGCCGCCCTGGAGGACGGCTGCGCCGGCCAATGAGGCCGGAGTGCTGGTGATTTTAGGTCCCCAGTACCCACCGTCTTCTCCGGGGCTAGGGTCCACGGGGCAGCGAGTGCGTATATACGGACGTGGAGGTCTCTTGTACCTTCTAGTCTTCCTGGTGGCCCTTGATTGTCACTCGTTCCCAGGGGCCAGCTGTCCCATAGGACATGGCTCTTTGAATGCTCCTGCAACCAGAAGTGACTTTCGAGCAGATGGGAAGATGCCAAGCCATCCCCAAAAGAAAAAAAATTCCCAGCGTTTGAAAGCTGCCAAGCGTGGTAGAGGGTTAGGTTAGTTAACACCGTGCGTGGCCTGATCCAGGTTTACTTTCGTGTGATTTTCTGCGAAACTCTTTGTGCCTTTCAGTAAATTTTAGAAACATAAAATAGAGCTTGCTTTGAGCAAAATCAAAAGTGAGGTACCATAATTAATCTTCGTTGTGTGGAAATGACACGTTTGTACCATTAGTTAGGGGCTGGGGTGGGGGCAGGGAACGAAGACACGCATTTTGGGCACGGTTCCTGCAAGAGATCCAAGCTCGTAGAATATGTGACGACAGGACTTGTATTAGAATCAAAATGACCTCACTTGGTTTATATGCATATTGGTAATTACTATCACTGTGATAGTTAACTGATCACCTCACTTGAAATTTCCCAAACATTTAATGCCCTTCTCTACAGAATAAATGTATAGGGCAGCTACTGAAGATTTGTTTTGTTTTATGCTGTAGGTAGTGGCTCCAATCCTTTCCAGCATCTGGAGAAGAGTGCTGTCTTGCAGGAGGTATGGCTTGAAAGTAAATTTTGAATTTTTCTATTCTTTTTTAGAATGGTGTGCAAAGAACCTATGGGATACTATGATCAGGACATCCAAAATGAGAACTAAGGAATGTAATTGAGTTCAAGAAAATAGAGACTGGAAAAAGGATTTTTTTTGGTCACAGGAGAATAGAGCTTACAGAAATATGGGCTCTGCTATGTGTTGGTAAATGAACCTCATCTTGATAAATATGGTGACTGCTGTTTGACATAAAGTCCATATAGTTGAAGCCCTTAGATTGGTTAAACTAAGGGAATGAGTTGAAAGTATACATTGGAAAATCAAGGCCACATGTTATAATTTGTCATATACCATAGTAAATGAGAACTTTTGAGAGTGTATTAAATACAGTCTTTATGAGTTGAGGTAATTTGTGATAGCAAATGCATTATATGAAACGTAATGTTTTTAATGTTTACATAGGCTCGTATATTCAATGAAACTCCTATCAATCCAAGAAGATGTTTGCATATTCTTACCAAGATTCTCTACTTACTGAACCAGGTAAATTACTTTGATTTTCCTGAGATTTGTGTCACAGTAGAAATATGTAACATACAGTGAAGTGTTTTCTAGAAAATAAGACAGTTTTTAAACAATGTACTGAATTTTAAAATTCATGTTTGATTGAATAATATGTAAAACTCTTAGGTGTATGACATGTTTCTTTTTATGTTCATGAGGTTATTAAATCACTTAAGCATATAGTAGATTCTCAATAAATATATTGATGCCTGTTTAATAAGCACAAATTAGACCATATTGTTTGTATGTTTTTGGGGAGTCTTGATGGCTCTCTGACAATATAGTCAGACAAATTTCAGATTTTTAGTAGTGATGCTTTGAAACTTTGGTTCTAATATTCAGATTTCATGTTTATTATTCCTGTTCCATTATTACTGAGGATATGATTTTGGGCAAGTAATTTAACCATAATGGGCCTTAATGCCCTGTTCTGCAGTGAGGGTTATGATAGTATGTTTTATGAAATTATTGGAATAATAAGCATGAAGCATTGATAGTGCTAAATACATGATAAGCATTGAAAAATAGCTGTCATACAGTTACTCAGCAAGTATTTGTTGCATTCCTGCTGTGTCTTATACACTGTTGTGGGTGCTGGGATGTAGGAGCCAAAACCAAAATAGTACTTGTGGAATATAGGTGCTGTATCTATCACTATTACTTTTTTTTCTTTGTTTCACATTGTAAAAAATAATCTCATGAACTGTATAGAGCCTTAAACAATATACTTTAGTTTCATAGATCATAAGATGCTAAGAAGACTATAGTTTGCAGTTTGAATTCTAAAGGAATGCTTTGTTTTTACTGTTTTGTAACCAAAGATCTCATACAGAGGTTTCACAAAGCTTTGCAAATTGAGACGGAGCAACAGGAAAATATTTTTAAATAAAATCTATTTGTTTACAAACAGCAGAATCTCTCTGTACATTATAAATACATAAGCCATAGTCAGTTTGACTTCAGTTTTCCTAACACATTATGTCCAAATAGGCTAAATGTATGATATAAACAGGGTTTTGAGTAGTTATAGTTGATTCAGAATAGCATAGTTTTTTATATTGGTCAATTCCTTTTTCATGGGGGCAGTTCATGTTGAAACAATTATCTTGATAAGAAAATTATCAAAAAGTATAAACATAACCACAAGAACAGGTTTCGAAACATTTATCTCTCCCTAGTTTTTCTTAGATCTTTATGGAAAATACTTTTAAATTTCTACTCAAGTTAACAAAGCCACATGTTCTCTGAATTTCAAGTCTGAAATCATATTTTTATGGGATCTATAGCAGTCACTTAAGCCATAGTGACAGATGAATCTGCTCATAGAATGATTCATCAGCTCATAGTAACAGATGAATCACTTCCTCTTGATTGGACTCCATTTTGCTGTATTTTCTGGGATTCCTCATAGACAGTTCCTATAGCTTCATATTGATTATGTTTTTATGATATATCAGGCATTGTGCTAGGCATTAGATTTTTAAAATATATCAGCTATGTTCTCTGCTGTTGGACAGTGTAATATTAACATCCTTTTCTGATTAGAAACTAATTGTATCATATTCTGCTTTCTCGTAAATCTTTCAGGGAAGTAAAAACAAAGTCTGTTAAAATTTTTGCACTGTTCCATAATGCTTAAGTGTGCAGGGCAATACTGAATTATTTTAAATAAGGCATGCATAAATGGCTATACAGGTTTGTAAATTGAAAGCCAGAAAAATTACCAAGAAGCAGAATGTTCACAAAGAAATTTTTTTTTACTGCCTTCTTGAAGATTTATACAGAAACAAAGAGAAATTTCTTAGCATTTGCATTTCTGAGTTTTAAAAAATTGTTTCAAATTTTGCTTAGGGTGAACACTTTGGAACTGTGGAAGCTACAGAAGCCTTCTTTGCAATGACTCGATTGTTTCAATCCAATGATGTAAGTTTTCTTTCTTTCTTTTTTTTTTTTTTATTCTTTTAGGATGAAAAAGTTCCTTTTATTTGCCCCCCCACCCCCCGGAATTTAGAGTGTTCCAGATTAGAAAGGGTTGCCTGAAATGTTTAAAAATTGCACGTTTATTTTTATAAAACTTACAAATATTCATTAAAGGGTACGTAAAAATTAAAATATATAGTATAAAGCTGTTCTCTATAGATTTACCATGCAGTTATAAAATATAGTTAATATCTAACTTTTAGTATGATATTGTAAGGTGGCCTCAGAATCCAAAACATGTAGCTACCATGTCTCCAGGGGTTGTGTTTCTGATGGGCCTGAGGTTGCTATTGGTCACTACGTTGAGAAGACTTGCTAGCTGGATATGAAGTAAGGAAGGTGACATGGAATAGGGAAAGGAACAGTGAGAACGGATTAAACCTGCTAGCCCCTCCACATCCTGCCTTAGATCACCCCAGCCTGTAGAGCGTTGGTGCCTGCTGCTTTCTGTTTTTTGAATGTAAAATATATTTCTCTTCTGCTCAACCCTAGTGCAGAAACACTTAGGGAAGAAGACTCTGAGATACATATATCCCAACCTTGTGTTAACATAAATTGGCCAGATCGTGCAGACCTTTTCATACATATTGCATGTATGCAGAGGTCATATTTTATACCCAACCTGCAGGACTTCCCGGGATTTGAGTCTGGTTATGCATCTCAATAATGAGAGGCTTCAGGAGTAGATCTGTAGGGTGATCAGCAGTCAGCCTCTGAGGTAACTGTCTCAGGGGATGCCTTTGTGTAGCTTTCAGGCAAAGGGAGACTGATTCCTCAGACATGGAATGAATGACTGCTTCCAGTGGCAAAGAATACTTGACAGATTTTAGGAATTTCAGGCACTCAGCTCTCTCAGAAGCTGTCTACATGTGCCCATGTCAATTTTCAAGGCTTTTATTCTTGCCAGTTAAGGTCTTTTCACAGAAGAGGCCCGGCAAGGATTTGCGTTGTAATTCAGCTGCCTGCAGGATGTGCTTTGTGAGCTCTGTGGCCACATGACCTAAGTCTTTCTATTAAGAACATGAGCTGTGTATTTAAAATGTTAAGTTCATATTTTTTTTTCTCAAAAGAATTCTCCAATATACTTAAAAAGGACTAATAACACTTTTTTTTTTTAACTGAGCAACTCACTCTTATGTTTATTTTTTATTTATTTATTTATTTTTAACTGGGAATTGAACTCAAGGCCTTGCGCTTGCCAGGCAGGATCTGCACTACTGAGCTCCATCCCCCACGCTAAGCAACTTACATTTAAAAAGTGAAGTTTTGACAGCTTACTTTCATTAAAATCTTTGGCAGCAATGACATACCCAAGGATTTGCTGTCTGGTATTTGTCTGCAGATGATAAATAGTAGTAAAATATCTTTTTTGCCATTATGTTATGTCCTGTATACTGCTCAGGATTATCAGTGTCTTTATTCCAAGCAGAAAAACAGTTCAGGTTTATAAGCCTACTTCCCTTTAACTGCTTCCTGTACCAAATTCAAGTTTCTGTTAGGGAAGAGAACCAATATATTTCGGGATTAGGTATGTATTAGAGGACTTGGACTAGAAAACTAGGCATTTCAAGCTGCTAGAATGTGTTGTGGTCAAATCGTGGAAGCAGGGAGGCTGTTGTCCCTCTGTTGCTCTGATTGATGGCCAGGTGTCTAGTGCTGGGCCTGTCCGGGTTAGCAGAAGTTAATAAGGTCAGTGGAGTTTAGGTCATGATTGAATAAAAAGAATTGTTAGAATCAGCAATGGTGGTTGAAAAGTGTGATGTTTAGAAATAAAATGGAAAGGAACATGGTTACTGATACACTGTGTGATGGGGGAAATGGATGATCACCATAGGAAGACAATGGAGAAGAGGAGTTCAAGGAATGAATGAAATCTGTATGGATTATAAGAATCCCCAGTAATTATTACTGGGATAGTATTGGGGAGTGATAATAAACACTGTACTAATATTTTTTTAAACATGGGAGAATAACCTGGGTCTGTATGTATAACCAGGAATTGTGGCAGGTGGTACAGTCTAAGGCGGAGAATATCAAAGTCAGAGGTTTTTTAAAGAAGGAAGTACAGTGAAAGAAAACAGCATAGCATGATGGTTTTGAAGAGGCAATGAGGAACAACTTGGACATCTTCCTCAGTTGTAGGCCTGGAGAGATGGGGCCTGTTTTGAGAAGGCTGCAGGAGAATCCTTAGGGAAGAACCTGATTTCAGTTAGAAAAAAAGATGGGAACATTCAGAGAAAAATTTGAGACTATAGGAGATTTTGCTGATAGAAGTATCAGTGAATAACAGACTGGCTTGGGATTTGTGGAAGGATGGAAAATAAAGCTGTTCGTAGTATTCCCTTATTCTTATAATGCCTTTAGAATAGTGGTGGTGTCTGTCTTTTCATTTTGATATTGGTAAAATGTGGTTTTTTCCCTTTTATTGCTAGGAAATTTTTTAGACGGTCATAAGATTTACTGATTGCTCCATAAACCAGCTTTTTGTTTCATTGACTTTTTTCTTCTATTGTTTTTTGTTTTTTGTTTTTTTTTTTTTTGGTTTTTTTTTTCTTCCAAGTTAATTGAGGATAGGGCTGAAAATCAAGCCAGAAAAAGAAATTGTTATGGGTCACTCAGAATAGGAACCAGATCAGCCAGATTGGAATTTGGAAAGCCATTTATTACTGAGCTCAGGGCCCCCATCAGCTCTCACGCAGGAGAGGACCAAAAGGCAGCTAGCCCAGGAAGCAGGGGGCTTTTAAAACATGAAACCACATTCTGTTTGGTAAACAAATTCTTTGACACAAAACAATGCTTTCAGGGTCATTGTGACCACTATCCAAACTAAATTTCCTGGGGCTTTTAGTTTCTGGTTATCTTGCACCTGAGTACCTGCAGGTAATCTTGCATAGCCCAAGGTTACAAGAAGTTAAATCCCATTTAGTTTCCTTATGAAGCCATCTCTGTAATCTAACTTTGTTTACAGGGATTGGTTAGGTAGGAATTTTATCTAGCAAACAGCAAGTAACAGCCACTATTTACTAAACTTAGAACAGTGGTGAGTATACATTTACAACAGAAAGCACAAGATTTACATTTATAATCTAAAATGTGAGAAATAAAAGAAAGGAAGAGAAACAGATCAATCAGGACAAAACTAAATTGGATAAGGTGGTTGTCTTGGTTACTTTTTATTTGTTGCTGGGACAAATACCCTACACAGAAGGAAAGGCTTATTTATGTAGCTCACAGTTTGTGGAGGTTTTAGCCTGTATTCTGCTGGCTCCCAGGCAGAGTAGCACATGGCTGAGGGCAGCAGTTCATGGCAACAGAAAACAGTAAAGAGCAAAAAGAAAGGGCAGCCACTTTAGCTTCTATCAAGTTTTTCTCTCCTGCTTATATTGTAAGCAAGCTACCCTGGGGCTGAGGGTATAGAACTCACACAGTGTCCATGCCCTCCTCTTGCACAAGTTGAGGATGTTTACAAACTAAGAATCCTGGCTCCCTGCTGAGTAACTTTAATTTCTAAACTTCTCAAGTTGACAATGGTAGATACAGATTTTGTCCACATTACAGGTACATGAAGAAAAGGACATTTACAGAGATCAACTATATAACTTAGCTGCAAAGACAGACAACAAATTTTAAAGGAATAATTTCATATTGATTATTCTTTAATTATAGAAATTAATGATGAAAGAATAATTTACTCAATGTTTTGCATTAATGACATATTTCTGTTTTGTTTCGAACCATTGTATAAAGGGGCTGGCTTTGTCCTGCTAGATAATCAGAAGAATATGTGACACAGGAGTTTTCAGATGAGATACTAGGCATCCAAGGACTGTGAAGTGAAGAGGAGAAGCAAACAAGAGGAGCCTGGGATTGTACTGGGATTCACTGCCCAGAGGCAGGTTCTAGGCCTCAGGCCAGGCAGGGTGGACTGAAAAGAGCCTGTTTTAGTTACTTTTCTAAAATGCCTGACACCCAGAGTTAAATGGGAAAGTCCTATTTGACTCACAGTTTGTACAGGTTTCAGTCCATAATCAGCTGGCTCCAGGATGATGTGGCAGAGGGGCATTGAAGAGGAAAAACAATTTATGGCAGGTAGAAGACAGTAAAAGCAAGCAAGCAAAGCAAAAACCAACAAGGAGACAGAAACAGTGTCTTTCTCCCCCTTTTTAATTCTATTTATGCTACCTGACTTAGGGCAGATGTCAAACATAACAGTGAACTAATATTAGTAATTACATACCTTTCATCCCAGCATGAGGCTTTGTGGGGACGTCTAGACTCAAGCTGTAGCAGCCTAACTTTCTCTCTGAGTCAGGAAGGCAGATGAATGTTGAGGAAGCCAAGGAAGCTTAAATTTGAAGGGCAGAATACCAGAGAGGAAGGAGCGAAAGAGAAAACCAGGAATTTGCTGAGAACTATGACCTGAGTATGAATGAGAGCTGATCTATTTATATGTAAAAGGAAACTGGCAAAGGCTCAGAAAAGAATCAGAAGAACATGAGGCTGAGAACAACTCATAGTTTCACCAGTGAGAGTGGAAAGGACCAGTAAAGCAGAAGACGTTTGGCATAGTTCTCAGGAGGATGTTACTTAAGTAATTTTAAGGATTAAATGTAAGCTTTAAAGGTTAAGGAAGCCATCCCTGGTGTTCCATGCCAGCTCTGCCCCTGGGGTGTGCTGAGACTGTAATTGAGCCTGGGTGTGGTGGTGCACACCTGTAATCCCAGCGCTTGGGAGGCTGAAAATGGGAAGATCACCATGAGTCCAATCTACATAGTGAGATCTTTAGACCCTATAGACCCTGTACGAAATACATTAAAAAAAAAAAAAAAAAAGTTAAAGGAAACCAAATCCCAGGTAACCTAACATCAGGATAGAGTTCAATACTATGTAAAAGAATACAACAAAATCCAGCACTTAACATAAATTTCTTAATATATAGCATCTAATAAAATCTGGAATATACTAATACAGGAAGATCTCCAGTTTAAGGCCAGCCTGGGCAATTTAGAGTGAGAACTTGTTGCATAATAAAAATTTTAAAAAGGGTAGGGATGTTGGTTAATGGCAGGAGTGCTTGCCTACCACACACAAAGCCTTGGGTTCAATCCCAAGTAGAGCAATTACTCAGTCACTCTGTAAAGGCAAAGAAGCAGTTAACTAGGGGAAAACTGAGTTAGCAGACACAAGCCTAGAAATGATACAGATAATGGGATAAATATACAGTGACAGTGAAACAACTGTTATGAATATTGTATACTTGAGCAGGTACTACAGTACACAGAAAAAATGAGGAGTAAGGGTGATTGACAAATCTGTACACTTTCTGAATTTTTTTAAAAAAACTGTAAAAGGGAAAATACACTGTGTGGGGTTAATAGCAGAATGGAGATACAGGAAAAATGCCACATACTATTATAGTGTTTTAAATATTTTTCTTTTTTCTGGGACAAAATGCACAACACTCTGAAGTTAAGAGAGGAAAGGTTTATTCAGCTCACAGTTTGTAGAGGTTTCAATCTGTTGTCAGTTGACTCTAGCGCTGGGTGGCATGGCAGAGGGACATCACAGAGGAAAATGTTCATGGTGTGGCAGGCAGAAGTCAGCAAAGCAGCAACCTGTCTTCCCTGTCTCCCTTTATATTCTATCCAGGCATCTTCCAAACATCTTTTTTTTAAAAAAAAAAAAAAAAATCATTTCTTTGTTTATTTGGTAGAGAGTCTTTCTGTGCAGCTGAGACTCATAGTGATCCTCCTGTCAAAGCCTCCTAAGTGCTGGGATTATAGGTGTGCATCACCACACCTGGTTTCACTGGCAGGCACACGTGCAGTACTGGGGATTGAACTCCTGTCCTTGAACTTGCCAGGCAGACACTTAGACCGCTGTCTAGCCCTGTTGCATGCAGTTTTTCTTTCTTTCTTACTTTTTTAAAAAAATCTTAAAAAAATTTTTTTTTTATATTTATGTATTTGGTACAGGGTCTTGCTACACAGCTCAGACTCAGTGATCTGTTTCAGCCTCCCCAGTGCTGGGATTACAGATGTGCACCACTGCACCTGGTCTCAATGGCTGGCTCAGCACAGGGCCAGCACTGAGCACCTGGGGTTCCAAGACTGGATCACATGTAGTACCACATCCTTGTGCTTGCCAGGCAGGCACTTAGTCTGCTGAACTGTCTCCCCAGCCTTCCATGTATCTTTATTCACAGTATCACATACTCAAGATTGATCTAGCTCTGAAAAACCCCCAGCTGTGATGAAGAAGGCTTTGGGGGGTATGTGGATTAAAACTATAATGTATAGCATATTAATAATATAGACTGCCAAAAATAAACTGAAAATGCTGAAAATGGACAGCATCAGTGACATCAGGGATAATAGTTTGGAAGTTCCTTTGCTAGTTACCGTGCAGTTTGCATTATGGACTTTGACTTATCAAATCTAATATCTACTTTTGTCTTTTCCCTGCTCATGGGAAATTTTTCAATCATAGGACACTCTCATTCAATATGTATATAAATACAAGCATGTCTGTGTTGCATATACACAGACACATATACTTCTTCTTCATACATAAATCTTTTATGTTTTAACATTAATTTTTGTGGGGTTTTGTTGTTGCTTATTGGGACTTACAATTTTTACCCCCTCATTTTATCTCTGAATTATATTATCTGGAATAATTTCCTTTGTGCCTAGAGAATATACCTTATAGAATCCAGTTTTTCCCAGCCCATGGTATTAAAGTACTAGGTTTATATTCTAGTTGTGAAGATTTGTTTTCACTTCTGGTGCCTGCATTTCCTTGTATTTTGCCCATAGCTACTTATTTAACTTTTTGGTTCCTGTGTCATTCAACATTTCTTGTAGTTACATAGTGTATATTTTACTGGCAGAGAGCACATGTTTGCCAAAACTTTGATTGTTAGTCTTTTGAAGTTTTGCCATTTGGTTGGAAGAGAGATAGTATCAGAAATGCAGTTTTAGGGCCGGCCAGATAGCTCAGCGGACTAAAGAGCCTGCTTAGGCAGAACTTGGCAGCTGGGATTCAATCCCCAGCATGACAGCCCCACCCCCAGGGCGTGCTGAGCCTGTGATTGAGACTGGGCGTAGTGGCGCACTCCTGTAATCCTAGCGCTTGGGAGGCTGAAAACAGGAGAATCACTACAAGTCTGATCTACATAGTGAGACCCTGTAGATTCTGTACTAAGGATAAACAAATATACGGTTTTAATTTCATTTCTGTGATCATTACTAATGTTGACCTCTTTTTTTTTCTGCTTTCATTAAACTTTGCATCTCAAGTTTTCTTCTGCTTCTGTTTTGTTTATACACATACTTTTTTTTTTTTTTTTTTGGAAAAGGTCTACAGGGTATTCAGGGTCTCACTACTAAATCGGACTGGTAGTGATCTGCCTGTTTACAGCCTCCCAAGAGCTGGGATCATAGGGGTGCACCACCACGCTCAATCTGTTGTCCTCTCAGCGCACCACATTGGCAGGCCTGGGGATTGAACTCCCTGCCCCTGTGCCTGCTTGCAGGCGCTTTAATCCCCTGAGCTATTTGGCCAGCCCTACATACATACTTAAAAAAAATCTTTTTTTATTTGATATAGGGTCTCACTACACAGTTGGAGTGATTCTTCTATCTCAGCCTCCCAGCACTGGGATTATAGGTGTGCACCACTGTGCTCAGTGTCAGGGCCAGCATGACATATGGTACTGGGGATCGAACTTGGGACCTTGTGCTTGCCAGGCAGGCGCTTAGACTGCTGAGCAGATACTGCCCAGCCTCCATGTTTGTTTATTTTTAAATGAGAAGGGATTGCAGATTTTCAACTCTGAAACTTAATTCTTATTTTCTGTTTTTTTTTTTTTTTTTTCTAATAGGAAACTTGTCTGTGATTTACCCTATTTTTGCTTTTCGCTTTGCTTTATTATATTTTTTCCTTTTAAATTACCTTAAGAATCCTCATTTTTCTTTCTTTAATGGGCCAGTGATCTCTCCAGATTCACCCTCCAGCTTTGATTCTGGAGCTGGGTCTGATGTATTTAGGTTTCTCTACTGATAAAAAATTTGGTTACTTAGAGGGGGTTGAAGCTGGACAGATGGGATCTGATGGGTACCCAAAGAATGTGGCTAAATCAGAGATCTAGGATGGAAGGGAGCAGAAGACTTGTTACTAGCTTAACACTTTTTAGATCCAGACATTCATCTGGAAATCCTGATTACTGAAAACAGAAGTTGGTTAACCAAGCCCAAATCACTTAGTGCTCAGGAGAAACACTGGAGGACACTCAGCCGAGGAACGTGCAGCCTATGTGACCTTTATCCACATTTTTATTCCATAAGCATTTTTAAAGAATTTAAAAAATATCTCTTTAAGGAGAAGCTGTTAACATGTTGGAAAAACTATATTTTTGGACTTAGAGAAATCAGAGTCTAAGTTTGGTTCTCTTGGTAGGAAGACCAATAAAATTAAGTTTTTATTTCAGTTTTTTTCCAGGGTGTCAGTGCATCAAATATTTGTATTTAGGGCCAAATACCAGCATTTGCTAGGAGGCGGAATCAGAAAGATTGCAAGTTTGAGTCTTGCTTAGGCAACTTAGCAACTTAGACCCTTTCTCAAAAAAAAAAAAAAAAAAAAATCAGGCTTGGGGATGTAACTCAGAGTAAAAGCCCTGGGCTCAGTCAGTCCCCAATACTGAAAAACAGTAACAAGAACAAAAAGACAAAAGCTATTTATGTTTAAGAAATAGTAATATTTTGAATAATGAGATATTTTTAAATTTTGGGGGTAGGTAAAAATTATGTATGTATATATGTATATATGTATATATTTGGTACAGGGTCTCACTACAACAGCTCAGACTCGTAGTGATTCTCCTGTTTTCAGCCTCCCAGCACTGGGATTACAGGGGTGCACCACTATGCCCGGTCTTGTTGGCCAGCTCAGGGCGCCTGGGGGTGGGGCCAGCATGGCATGTGGTTCTGGGAATTGAACCTTGGTCCCTACACTTGCCTAAGCGGGCACTTAGTCCACTGAGCTGTCTTGCTGGCCCTAAAAAATATTTTTCTACATATACCTACTTGGGATCTTCATTTCAAGCAATTAAGAACATTTCCTAAGGTTTGGGAGATAGCTCAATGGCTTACGTGCCTGTCTGACATGCAAAAGGTTCTGAATTCAATCCCTAGTACAAAAAAAAAAAAAAAAAAAAGAAAAGAAAAGAAAAGAAAAAGCAACAAAGAGGAACATTTCCTTATGAATAACTGTTACCTTTTATAAATAATTTTTCAGCAAACATTGAGGAGAATGTGCTACCTTACCATCAAAGAAATGGCTACCATCTCTGAGGATGTGATAATTGTCACAAGCAGGTATGTGAATAGTCAGAATCTAGAATGAAATATGTTTATGGAATATGTGCTGTTTTGTTTCTGTTGATTTTACTTTTTTGACTGTAAAGTCATTAGGAATTTAAAAGAATATCATATGTTAAGCATTTTTTACTTGTTAGGAAGCTTGATATTCATGTATGCCCAAGGCAGAGTACAATTTGATTCAGCTTTTCTAGAAAGCAGTTTGGCAGCATTTGTTGAATGAAAAGCTTTATCCCTTTGGCCTCTATTATACCACATCTCTAAAACTATCCTCAGAAAGTAATCAGACATACAGGGGGCGGGGAGATAGCTCAGTAGAATAAGCCTTGTCTGGCAAGCTCAAGGGCTGAGTTCAATCCCCAGTTCCTCCAAAAAAAAAAAAAAAAAGTTATCAGACGTAGCAAGACTTACATGTAGTGGTATTTGTTGCAGCACTTCTTATTAGCAAAAAGGATGAACAACTTGTGTCTATCATTGGTAAATTATTTAATCATGTTTTAATAATGTTATAAAATATTTTAAATTTTTGAAAATATTTTAAAAATATCTTTGATAATATAGAAAATTCTTTGCTGAATTTAGTGCTGTGTGCTAGTTGAATGCAGTCTATGTATTCCATATACTCTTACTTTAAAAAACACTGTATGTGTATTAAGAAACATGGATGGAAATATCCTGATAAATTACCAGTAGGTTGTCTCTGAGTGTTTGGGATTCTGGCAAATATTTAATTTCCTTATAGTTTTGATAATTTTCAACTGTCTTAGAGTGAGTATGTAGAATTTATAGTTCTGAAACGTATTATTTTGAAAACTTTTTTCATTATTAAATGAAAAAGTTAAATACTCATGTAACTGAATATGGTTTTTGTACAACAAAATGCATTTTTGAAGGTGGGTGCTTGTGTTCAGCAGTAGCACTGAGTATAGTTGTAGTGAGGAAAGTTTTTAGCTGAAAATAACAAAAAAGAAGATGTAAACAGTGATTTAAACAAGATTGAAATTTGTTTTTCCTTACCAACTGTAAGTCTGGAGGCATAGACTAAGTGGTGTTGGTTTAGTCACTCAGTAGTGGCGGGCTGGTGACTCTTGGATTTGTTTGGACATGCTCCATTATTACAAAATAGATTTCTGAATTACTGGCAGAGCATTGCCCTCAAGGCAGGAGGGCTACTGGGAAGCAGGCCAGGAAGTGCCAGCACCATCTGCTGCTTTTATTAGGAATACAATAGCTTTTCCCAAGGCAATTTTTAGATTTTACTTGGCATCGCTGTATTACATGACTATCCTTAGGAGGCCAGGAAAGTATTTACTTTTTATAGCTCATGTGTTAAGGGTAGACAAGGAAGAAGGGTTTGAAAGTGGGTGTTGAATTAGTCAGCTAGTAGTGTCTGCCACAAAAATGAAACAGAAAACTTTAAGTTAGATTGCTAGATCACTATTTAAAGAATTTAAAACCAATTAGGCATCTGAGTTTTTTGTTTGTTTTAGCCATTAATGTTTCCTCCTGAGTTGTCATAGCCTACTTTGAATTACAGTTTACTTCTGGTTCATTTAATTGATTAGTAGGTGTGGTGGGCAGAATAATGACTCCGTAAAGATGTCCAGGTCTTAATTCTCAGGACCTGTGAATATGTTACGTTATAAGGCACAGAGGAATTAAAATTGCTAAATAGAGTGGGAGATTATCCTGGGTTATTCATGTATGTACTCTACAGACAAGCATCTTTAACAGTGGAAGTAAGAATCAGAAGAGGTTCCATAAAGAGACATGGTGATGAGAACAGGGTCAGAGGGATTTGGTATTGCTGGATTTGAAGATAGAGGAAGGGGCCCACAAGCCACAGAGCACAGGTGGTTTCTGGAAACTGGAAATACAAGGAAAGCGTTTTATCCTAAATCTTTCTTTCTAAAACAAAATGCCTGTTTTGAACTAATAGTGTTTAGACACAATATCATATCTGCATCTTGTATTATGAATAACCACTGCGAAGTCAACAGTATGCAATGTATTAATTATTGTAACTGTCCTATTAACCTGTTTTGAAACTGCCTCATTGCTATTTCTTAACAAAATTAATATAAAAAGTAAAAATAAAATACATTAGGGCTCCAAAATTTAAAGACCCAATCCAAAAATGGGCATCCGAGATGAACACATTCTTCTCAGAGGAAGAAATACAAGAAGCAAATAAATACATTAAAAAATGCTCCACATCACTAGTCATTCATGAAATGCAAATTAAAACAACACTGAGATGCCATCTCACCCCACAAAGAATGGCTATTATAAAAAAATCAACCAACAACAAATGTTGGGGAGGCTGCGGGGGAAAAAGAAACCCTTCTTCACTGCTGGCGGGAATGTAGACTGGTGCAACCATTATGGAAATCAGTGTGGAGACTCCTTAAAAAACTAGAACTGGAAATCCCATTCAAGCCAGCTATCCCTCTACTGGGAATTTTTCCAGAGGAACTGAAAATGTCATATCATAGTGATATATGTGTATGTATGTTTATAGCAGCACAATTTGTGATAGCAAAATCTTGGAAACAACCAAAATGCCTGTCACCTGAGGAGTGGATGAAAAAGATATATTTTTAATACAATGGAGTATTACTCAGTTATAAAGAAAAATAAACTCAAAGCCTTCATATATAAGTGGATGTCACTTGAAGATATACTCATAAGTGAAATAAATCAGACCCACATGTGTAAATACCGTATTGACTCCCTAGTGTAAGAACTCAAAAGAAGAACTAAAAATTGAAAGGTATAACACAGTTGAATGGAAATTGAGAACTTAAGGATTAAACAACGAAGAGAGAAAAAGGAGAAAAGTTAGGAAATATGGCAGGGGGAAAACTATACATTTATATAAACAAGATGGTTAAGGCAATGGTCTTAAGAATCTCCATCAGGTGTTTGAAAATGGCAGTTAATGGATAGAATTCTCACCCTGACTAACTATATATGCTGATATCTGTGAACTAAACTAAGGATAGCAATGCGTAATACTAATACCATGCTTGGAATACCTATCATTTTGGTCTTCTAAATGTGTACTGCTTATTTATTTATTTATTTATTTACTTTTTGAGGAACTGGGGATTGAACTCAGGCCCTTGTGCTTGCCAGGGAAGCACTTATTCCACTGATCCATCTCCCCAGCCCTATAAGATTAGTCAATTCTATGTTTGTTTGTTTGTTTTGTGGAACCGGGACTTGAACTCAGGCCCTTGCGCTTGCCAGGGAAGTGCTTATTCTACTGAGCCATCTCCCCGGCCCCTCTAACTGCTTTTCATGTCATATCAATTATTGCTATACTCTCTTTCAAGTAAATGTTAAAAAAAAAAAGTTATAAAAGAAAACAAGAGATAAGAAAAATAAAAAATAAAACAAAATGCCTGAGGTTGAGTACTTAAAAAATTTTGGAGGCTGAAAGTTCAAGACTGGTGGTCCTATCTGGCTTCTGGTGAGGGCTCCATGGCTGATGGCATAGCAGAAGAAGGAGTGTGTACAGTGGGGACCATGTGGTAAGACAGGAAGCCAGAGGGGCTCGTGGAGCAGGCTCTCTCTATTTGTAACAGCTCTCTGTTACAGAAACTAACCAGGTCTTGTTCTTCCTACCTGAGGACAGAGCCACCTTTTTACTACAACCCACTCCTGAAAGGTTCCACCACCTTGGTAGCTCCACAATAGGTACTAAGCTTCCAGCACATAAACTTTTGGGGAGCCTGCTCAGTGTAGCAACCTCAACAGCCCCAGAAAAGTAGGCAGCCCTGATTATGTGTTGATTTTAGCCTAGTAAGTCCTCTTCTAGATTTCTAATTTATGTAACAGAGCAAAAAGGAAGTGAATATTGTCTTAAGTCTCTAGATTTGTGGCACTTTGTAATAGCAGCAATAGAATGTTAATATAAATTTTGGTATCTACAAGAGAAGTGCTGCTATAGAAATAGTTAAATATTTGAGTATGTTTAGAAATTAGGCAAAGAGCACATTGTGGAAAAATTTGAGGTACATATTAGAAAACCCTAGACTGTTAATAAAACTATGTATACTAATGAGTATGGTAGACTAGGAAAGAAATAAAGAATAGGATAGAGAAAACATTCCCTTAGAGAATGCCTAAATTGTTATGAACAGATTAATGGTAGAAATACTGACATTAAAGTTGCTGGTAGTGGGGGCCTATAGGAAATTAGGAAGATGTTGAAAACAGGTGAATCTAGATGTGCCTTCTAAAGACTCATGGGGTCATAGGTAGAGGATTTCGAAGGTGGCTGTATTAAGAATGTGATGCTGGGGGTGGGGAAGCTAGCTCAGCGCAGGCACAGATCTTGAGTTTGATCCCTGATTTAAAAAAAAAAAAAAAATGATGTGATGCTGAAGATTAAAGGTGCCCCATCCTGGGTATGAGTGGTACTGCCCAAAAGGCAGGTAGCCTGGATGGAACAGAAAAAGGCTTTTTGCTGCCTTCTGCTGGTTGTGCATTGCCATGGACTATTTCTCTGTGATGCCCCTCTGCCCTGCCACCTTGCCTGGGAGCCAGCTAACTATGGACTGAAAACTACAGGCTGTGAAACAAAATAAACCTTTCCTCCTTTCACAGTTTTGTGTCAGCAGCGAGAAAAGGAAGACAAGGAAGAAAGGGGTTCTTGTTATAGTGACAGAAAGCTTAGTAGAATCATATCCTGTGGTTATGTGGGAAGCAGAACTTATAAATAATGAACTTGTATATTTAACAGGAAATTTCAAAGCCAAATGTCAAAGGTGCACTCTGGTTTCTTTTTACTGGTATTAGGAAAATTTGAAAGTAGAGCAGTAAATTGAAGGGAGATATGTTAAACAAAAATGTACTAGACCTTGATGATTTTGGACATTTTTAGTCTACCCAAATGATAAAGAATGTTAAAATGAAGAGATACACTGTCAGAAAAATGGGTGCTAGAGAAAAAGCCAAAGGAGTCACTGTGCTCAGATTAAAACATCAGA